TTTTCTTTTTTGGGCTTCAGCAGATATCAGTTGTGTCACACAGGATCTTTCGTTGTGGCAGGCAAACTCTTAGTTGCAGTGTGTGGGATCTAGTTCCGTGACCAGGGATCGAACTAGGCCCCCTGCATTGGGAGCATAAAGTCTTAGCCACTGGACCACCAGGGAAGTCCTCCTCCACATTCTTGAGATTTCATGTCTTAGATGTCACTTCACTTCAAATCTAGGCTAGGTTCTCCCACCCCATTGTGTTTCTAGAGCAGACTGTACTTTCCCCAGCAGTCTCCATCATCGTGCTGAAATCACCATCTTGTCTTTTTTCCCACTAGACTGCAAGTTTTATGACTGCTCTCTTCGTCCCACCACCGGATCCCTAGCACCCAGCACAATATTGGGCACATAACATATGCCCAATAAATGTATATTGAATGAGTCAATTAAGGAGTGAATGAGATGAATTAGTGGCACCACCATCCCCCTAATCACCTGGGACACTGTCATCCCCATCTGGTCTGGTGTCAAGTCCCATTAATTCTACCTGCATACTCCAGTCCCATATTATCTCTCTCCTGGACTTTTACCATAGCTACTTCTGACTTGACATCTGTCACTTCCACATGCCCAACAGCTCTTCCCTCTTATTTTGGAAACTCTCATCATTTGTTTTTGAAGAACTACTTCTCCCTCCTTGCACTCTTGATGGAATTGTCAGTCAAGGTACTCTCCACCTTTGGCAAGGGGTGAACATGAGATCCAAACCAAGCCAGGACTGTAAATACCGAGTGGAAGGACACAGGTATAGAAGACAGTTGGACTGAGTCATTCCAATCATAGCATCTGTGAGAAACTGTTTATTGAGTTTGGGGGTAGTACTTGGCAGGTAGAACTTGGTTCTCATCCAAGTTTAGAACCAAAAGAGAGATAGCTACAGAAGTAGGACAGAGGGAGATCAGAATATCAGCTTTGCTACTGACAAAGTTGCTGGGAACCTACCTTTAGGTCTGATTGACATGTGAGTTTACTAATACTGAACCCCCCAAATAATCTACTCTACCCAGTCTCAGGCAGTACTGGAATATCATAGTCCTTTCTATGAGGGTCAGACCCTGAGAAATTTAAAACTTTGAGGAAGGGCACAAAAAAACCAAGATTCTTGTGGGCAGGTAGATTTGAAAGAAGGAGGAAAAGCTGAGTTGAGCTCCATTCATTCTCCCTAAACCCACATCAGATAATTCACTCCTCCTCCTCCCCCTCTGGGGAAGATAGATGGGTGAAGGAGGGAGGCAATAGGCAAGAGTGTTATCTGAAAGAGGTCTCTCCAAGCGGAAAAAGATGGAGGAAATAAACATTCCCCTCTGCATTGTCCCCTTGTTCCTGATATGTAGATTACCCTAGGCACCTCTGGCTCCTCTCATCCCCAAGGCTCGAAGTTGTACAACTGTATCTTCTGAATTAATTCTTTTTTTTTTCCTTAGTGTAGTCAAAGTCTGTTTCTGTTGCTTGCACCAAAAGAACATGTCTTAGTTTCCTATTGCTGCTGTTAACAAATTTGGTGGCTTAGAAGAGCACAAATGTGTTGTCTTCTGATACTGGAGGTCAGAAGTCTGAAATGGGTCTTCTGGGGCTAACATCAAGGTATGATCAGAAACTGTGTTCCTAATGAGATGGATAAAACTGGAACCCATTATACAGAGTGAAGTAAACCAGAAAGATAAACACCAATACAGTATACTAACGCACATATATGGAATTTAGAAAGATGGTAACGATAACCCTATATACAAGACAGAAAAAGAGACACAGATGTATAGAACAGACTTTTGGACTCTATGGGAGAAGGCGAGGGTGGGATGATCTGAGAGAACAGCATCGAAACATGTATATTATCAAGTGTGAAACAGATCGCCAGTCCAGGGTTGGATGCATGAGACAAGGGCTTGGGGCTGGTGCACTGGGGTGATCCAGAGAGATGGGATGGGGAGGGAGGTGGGAGGGGGTTTCAGGATGGGGAACACATGTAAATCCATGACTGATTCATGTCAATGTATGGCAAAAACCACTACAATATTGTAAAGTAATTAACCTCCAACTAATAAAAACAATTGGGAAAAAAAAAAAGAAACTGTGTTCCTTCTGGAGGCTCTAGGGGAGCCTGTCTCCCTGCCTTTCCAGCCTCAGAAGCTGCCATCATTCCCTGACTTGTGGTCTGCAGCCAACAATCACACTATTCTGACCTCTGCTCATATCATCACATCTTCTCTGGCTCTCTCTCCCTTTTACCCTTAGAAGGACCTTTGTGATTATATTGGGCCCATCCAGATAATCCAGGATAATCTTTCCATCTCAAAATCCTTAACTTAATCACATCTACAAAGTCTGCTTTGCCAAGTATGGTAACATGATCACAAATTCCCGGGATTAGGACCTGGATATCTTTGGGGGTATTATTTTGTCTACCACACAACACTAACAGAAAGATTTCTTAGCTTGTCTTGCATTCATCTCTTTCATCTCCAGTCTTCCTGCAAGTGATCTTTATAAAATGTGAATCTGATCATGACCTAAGAAAATTCCTACCCAAGAAAATTCCTGATTCCCCAAAACCCACTGAATAAACCCCACGGCACCCCTGACTCTCTTTCACTTCTGGTGGTTTGCTCCAAATGTTCTCTCAGCCTGAAAGTTACTCTCACTCCAAAGCCAAGTCCTCAGTAATCTTCAAGATCCCTCTCACAGAAACCTCCATGATTCCTCTGGCTGGAACCCAGCTGCACTGTGCATCTCACATCTACAGAAACTGTCTTTTCACCTGGCAGTGCTGGGTACTGGCCAGTCAGGAGATCTAACCTCTCTGTACCTTTGTTTCCTCTATTTAAAAACTGCCCATAATAAATCAGTGACCCCATGTATAGTCTGTTGTGAGAATTAAATGAGGCAATGGATATAAAGTTTTGAGCACAGTGCTGGCATGCAATTTGGCACACCGTACTCAATAATATGTAGATGATACCAGTTATTACTAAAATTTAATAGTTGAGTGAAAGAAGAATGAGGTACTCTCTCCTTCCCCTGAGCTGTCAATATTCCCTTTATGATCCTTAATATGCCCAAAGACCAGGACATTTTAAAAACCTGAATGAATAACCCTGACATTTTGTGTGTTTCTGTGTAATCTTAGCTGTTTTCTTTTCTGGGAGCTCCAACCCTGGCTAGAATCATTGTAGGGATTGATGGTAGAAAGGAAAGGCTGCTCTTATTCCTTCTTGTTCTAGTGCCTGAGCACATCAGACCTCTATTAACTCTGACCTTCTTGAAATGACTTTGAGGCAACTAGAGGTTTCCACTCTCACCTTCATGAAGCTTGTGCTCCCTGGGGCACCAGCTTGCGATTCTCAGGGTCAATTGTGACTCCACTACTGTATGGCTTTGGGCTGGTCACTGCATGTCTTCCTGAAAAATGGGCATAATGGAACTTTCTTGGTGGTCCAGTGGCTACAATACTGCGTTCCCAAAGCAGGGGGCCCAGGTTCAATCCCTGGTCAAGAAACTAGATCCCACATGCTGCAACTAAGAGTTTGCATGCTGCAACAAAAGATCCCACATGCCGAAACGCCTCAACTAATACCTGTGCAGCCAATTAAATGTTTGGTTTTTAAATGGCATAATCACCACTGCATTCTCTAAGGTCAGGAACCTTAGAAGACAAGTGTAGGCATGAGGAATGAATGTCAACTTCTTTTGTGAGGTAAAATAGAAGAAACCAAGCTGAAGAGATAGGAAATTCATTTCCAGGATGTAGAAAATGAGTTGTGGGACTTTTTAGCAGTCTAATGGTTAAAACTCTTCCCTTTCACTGCAGGGGCCATGGGTTCAATTCCAGGTTGAGGAACTGAGATCCTGCACGCCACTTGGTGAGGCTAGGGGGAAAAACAGAAAAACGGGGGAAAAAAGGAAATGAGTTGCCGTAAGTCTGTGGAGAAACAAAATTGCTTCATAATCACACTCTGGACTAAAGGTCCAAAGGGGCCGTTGGGGCTGATCTTGCCAGGACCTCAGGGGTTGCTTCCTGGAGGGTGTGGACGAAACTTTCACACACCATAAAGCTGTCCAAGAGAAGGACACGTCTTTTGAGAAAAACTCTCTTTTCCTGCTTATTTACAGAATTCATTACAGACCTTTTTGAAAATATAAAAATGCACAGAGAAGGGAAGACGCTCCGGTAATCACACTCTGTAAAGATCATCACTTGTAACTATCAAACAAAACTGTGATTTTGTTGTAACTGCAATTTTTTATCCATTTTCCCCTGTGATTAAATATAGAACGGGGGGGCGGGGGGGGGGGTTCAGTATACAAACCTGTTGCTATTTATTTAACTAAGCTTATTGTTGAACATTTAGGATATTGCCTTTATTGTTGTTTTTATGTGTTTCAGGTTTGGGGACTGTTGTAAGTGCTACAATTAATATCTTTGTTAAACAAGTCTTTACGTATATCCTAGATTATGTCCTTGGATTTCCTGGAAGTAGAATTGCTAGACCAAAGGATATTTGATACATATTAGCCAATTTGTCTCCTAAAACTGATTTCACTCATTTGTTCTCCCACGGGCAATTTTATAGGACTTCACTCGGGTTGCCCGTGCCATTAACTGTCAAAAGCCTACCTAGAACCCCGAGGCCGGCCTGTAGGCTTGCTTCACGTTTTCCCGCCCACTCCGCTTACCCGCCGCGAGCCCCGCCCCTTCGTACATGGTGGCCCGCCCCTTCCTACTCCCTCACCGATTCTACCCAATCAAAAGCAGCTTTCCCCAATCTGGCTGCGTGGTTGGTAAGCTGAAGTTTCCGTCGCGCTCAGGGGCGGGCGGAGCAGACTGATGGACGTGGCGACGGACCAGTGTGAGCGGCGAGCAAGGCGTGCGTGGCGTGCGTGGCGCGCTGGCCCGGAAGCTCTGGACCTGAGAGGTGTGCAGGCGAGTTGAACGGTGAGAGGTTTTGGCGGCCATGGCTCCCAACGTGCCCGCGGCCGAACCGGTCCCAGAGTCTCCTAAAGGCATCCGAGCCGTGCTCTTAGGGCCGCCCGGAGCCGGCAAGGGTACCCAGGTGAGCTGCTGAGCCGGGTTTGTCGGTGGAGCCCGTGGAACTCCAAGGTCAGGGCGGCCGAAGGTCCGGTTTGCCCCACACTCAGGCCGCGCGGGCTGAGGCCTGGACTGGGGGTTCTCTGGCTGGCGTCTGGAGTTCTGGCAGGTGTTTTGGGGAGGGTTCAAGTTGGAGATCGAGGGAGTCTGAGTTAGAGTTCTTGAGTGCCCCAGGCCTGAGGTGCTGTGTTAGGGGATCTAAGGACTGAGTAGTTTCCTTTAGGGTTTAGAAGCTGAGAAGATTTGAAGGGTAAGGGTGAGCCCTGGGCTGAGGCATGGTAGATCGGAACCCGAGTTGGAGGCCAGGACCCTAGACTCAGTGCGATTTGACAGTGGATTACGTTCCAGGGTTACGCACCCGGTAGGGGTACGTTGCTGGTATTGACTAATGCCTGAAGGCGGAGGAGCATCTCCCTGACGTGGGGGAAAGCGCTAGCTGTCCTGTGCTGATAAGGAGAACTACTCAGAGAAGTGAGGTATGACCTGTTTGAGCCAAGTTAGGTGGATGAGAGAGTGTACCTCAATGTACAGGTAAGAAAACAGGCCTGGAGAGGTCAGATGACTTTCCCAAGTTAGTAAAATTGACCTCAAGGAGCCTGGAACCTCAAGGCTCTGCGTGATTGGAGTGAGGTCACTTTCTGCTGACTGTGAGGCCTCTCTTGGCACCTGGGACATAATGGGCCCATAGGTCAGGAATGAGATTTATGATCTCAGGATTTGGAAGCCCATAGATTGGATTATTATCCTCCTGGAATTGCCCCCACCCCTCCCAGACCTCAGGATTTTGCTGGTTATTAGGGTCTAAAGAGAGAATTCCTGAAAATCTGAGCTCCTAAGGAAATGGGGTTCTGGATGCTGCGCTGTGCCCCCTCTTCTATCCCTAGTCCTTGAAAGATTGCAAAGTCTGGGCAGACAATTTGTCTTACTCTTTCTTGGACTCTTGCAACACCCAGCACATTTCTTGGCACTTGATGAGGTTACTAGGTATGGATGATGCAGAGAAGGGGAGTCTAGGAGGATTCAGTTCATTCCTGTGACTTTGCTTTTCAGCTCTGGCTACTAGGTCAAAAAGGGCTTCCGAAACAGCTCAATGGTAGAGAATCTGCCTGCCAGTGCAGGAGATTTGGGTTTGATCCCTGGATGGGGATGATCCCGTGGAGAAGGAGATGGCAACACACTCCAGTATTCTTGCCTGAAAAACCCTATGGACAGAGGACCTGGTGGGCTGCAGTCCATAGGATTGCAAAGAGTTGAACATAACTGAGCATGCATGCACCAGTCAAGAAAGACCACTTTCCCTTTTCTCTCTGTAGCCAGAGCCGATTTGCCCTTTAAGGCTGACTGTTACTTAATCCCCTTGTCCTTTCACACCGAAGGTTCCTCTTTCCTGTTGCTGCCACCCTCAGTTATTAGGTAACCTGCAGCTAGGTATGTTTAATCCCAAACTCTATGGACTTTTGCTGTGAGTGACCAAAATAAACAAGGTAACTCAAATGCATTGATTTTTTTTCATAGTTCATATTGAAGTTAATAATTTCAGTGGTTATGGAATGGACAGCCCGTCTCAGTGCTGAGGCAAGGGCTTGACAGTTTAACAAACTTGTAACTTAGGCCTCACTGCTGCCAGCTGAAAAATGGAGATACTGCTTACGCATTCAGCATTTCTTGAGCACCAGACATTGGAGGTAGAACAGTAAACAAGACAGAGAAGGTCCTTGTCCCTCTAGACCAAAAGTTGACAGGGATACTGGAAATTATATGTCTGTAAAGCACACCTAGATGACAACCTGGTTGCATAGTAGGTGTTCACTAATTGTTGACTCATTCATCTTAATTGATAATACATTCCCTCAACCCCCAACTCAGTTGTATCTCAGTGTAAAGGGTGATGTACTCAGGAAGTTTTGGGGGAAATTCTACCTATGAGCTGACTTATAAGGGTGTATATATGATGAGAGTTCATCAGAGAAGGCCTTATAGAAGTCAGGGAGATGTGATTTTAGCTGGGACTTGAAAGGGTAAAATTTACACAAGTTGCTTAACCTCTGTACACCTTTCTTAAGGTATTCGGAACCATAGGTATACTGGCAGTTGTAGTTTTAAGGAGTTAAAACTTCATAAATCAGAGGTTGCAGAGTGGCAGCCTGCAGCAGCTTGTAGCCTGCAGACACACCCCAGCTTTTAATTATAAAGAGTTTGAATATACAAAAGACGACAGGATGGTGTAATGAGCTCCCAGGTACATGTTATCCAGGCCCAGCTACCATCAGCTGGTGGCCATTCCTTCCCCATCCAGTCTCCCTTCACAAATGATTTTAAAGATGCTCGCAGATATTGTAACATTTCATTTGTAAATATTTCAGTGTGTATCTCTAAAAGACATTCTTTTTTTTGTGGAAAAACATAATGCCCCATAAAAAATAAATAGTAGGAGTAAATGTTTATGTTTCTATTCATTTGCATTTCAAGTTTATTTTATGAGTATTTTAAGTGTTTATGTATTTATTTGACTGCACTGGGTCTTAGTGGCCACACGCAGCATCTTCAGTCTTTAGTTGCGCCATGTGGGATCTTGTTCCCTGACTGAGGGTCGAACCCCGGCCCCCTGCATAGGGAGCTTGCAGTCTTAGCTGCTGGACCACCAGGGAAGACCCTCAAGTCTCTTTCAGTTTACAGGTTGTCCTGTACCTTGGATTAGTACCTAGTACCTACTCAGTAGTTTTTTTCTTCCCACTGGTGCTTCCTTTTACACCTCTATAAACTCAGTGTCTTAGGTATTTAATGTTGGCATGACTGAAATAATTGTTTCCTTTTAAAACTTAGTTTTAACTAAAATAGTTAAACATTTTTAAACTGCCTGCTTTTGCATCAGCATAATAATGTCTAAAATATCTGGACCATATGGGTTTGTTATTTTGTTTAAATAACCTTATTTCCCTGTCTCCCTTTTGGGGTTGAATGTTCCTAGAGTGTGGCCAAAAGCACACACGTGTTTCCTGTTTTCCTCTGCCAACCCCTCTCATAGTTTCTTCCATGTGTCCAGCTGACACCAGTTCTTCACGGCCAGCGCATGTGGGCTGTCAGCTCCCATCTTGCAGATCAGGATTGGTCAGTTATGTCTGTGCGCTAACACAGTGCAGAAGCAAACTCAGTGAGACCCACATTCTTATTCCCCCTTTTACAGCTAGAGAAACTAAAGCCCAAAGAGCTTGTTCTCTGGGTTACAGGGCAAGTAATTGGCTGCTCTTGCTTCTGAAATGACTCTGGAGCTCCTGATCTTTCTGCTGCCCTGGGTTAGATTTGTCTCCTATCCTGTGCATGTTTTCTTAGGCATGTTCTTTGCTAGAGTTGCAGGGTAGCCTTCAAGAGGGTGTAGTATTGCAAAATAGTCACCCTTTCCTGGGTTCTGTGACAGATCCCCCCGTATCCCCCCCATCTCCCCTACACCTCCCCAGCCAGAGATTTAATCCTTTTAATCCAGATTTAATGTCATCTGATTTAATCTTTCAGCCCTTGGAGGACAGTCCTGTTGTTATCTTTGCCTTTTTGCTAATAAACTGAGGCGCAGTCTGTATCTTGCCCTAGGACATAGGTAAAGTAGCGAAGATAGGATTTGAACTTGTGACTGATTTCTTGAACAGCATTAACATTCTGTTGTTGCTTGCAGTCTAGGTATAGGAGCAGAAACGAACATAGATGCTTACTACTGCAAAGTACCACAGGGGAAGTACTGATGAGTGACTGACAACTGCTCGGATAGTTCAGGGTTAGAACAAGGACTATGATTTGTTGAGGGCTTCCCTGATAGCTCAGTTGGTAAAGAATCCGCCTGCAATGCAGGAGACCCCAGTCTCCTGGGTCAGAAAGATCTACTGGAGAAGGGATAGGCTACCCACTCCAGTATTCTGGCCTGGAGAATTCCACGGACTGTATAGTCCATGGGGTCACAGAGAGTTGGACACGACCGAGCCACTTTGACTTGTGATTTGTTGAGAATCTTCTGTTCTTCCTCCTACCCTTCCAGTGAAGAATGTTCCATTCTTTCTCCTACCTACCCACTAATACACCAATTTATAGATGAGGAAATAGTCTCAAAGAATCACTAGCCTGAGGTTACATGGTCAGTTAAAAGGCAGAGCTGAAATTTAAACACAGGTTTTTGTGCTTTTAAAAGACTTTAATTGAAGTATAATACACATAGAGAAAGGTGCAGACATCTTAAGAGGGCAGCTTGATGAATTTTCACATGTGAACATACTTGTGTAGCTTGTACCCATATCAAGAAGGCCTCCTTGTACTCTCTTCCACATACATACCTTTCCCAAGGACAGCACTAAGGCTTTGGGGGTGGTGGCGGCATGTTTTGTTAGGTAAGTTCCTTGCTAGAGCTGCAGGGTAAAGAAGGCTATGTAGTGTCATGGATAAGAGCTAGGGCTTGACAGCCTTGAGACCAGTTACCAGGTCTGCCGTTACTAACTGCGATTTGGAGCAACTTAGCCTCTGAATTTCATTTGTAAAATGCAGATAAAAATAATTACTACCTCCTGTATTTGTTATGTATTATGTGGTTTGGTTGCTAAGTCATCTCTGACTTTTTGCACCCCCATGGACAGTAGCCCGCCAGGCTCCTCTGTCTATAGGATTTCCCAGGCAAGAATACTGGAGTGGGTTGCCATTTCCTTCTCCAGTTACGTATTATACATACTGTAAAACAATGCATGGGAAAATTGCTTGGCATCTTGCAAACACCCAGTTAGCTGATGATTCCTTCTCGGAGGAAGAAAGGATAGTTGGGGAGGTTTTTGGTGGGGGAGAGATGCTCAGAAGTTGACTCTAGAAGGGGGAGGGTAGGACTTGGACCAGTAAGGGGAAGGGAGAGGGTATTCCTTCATAGAGAGGAGCTTGAGCTGAGGTCCATGGAGATGCTTATGTATTTGGAAACCAAACATAGAGCAGCTGTTAGCAGTGGTGCAGGGCATCTAGGTAGGGGGCTTGTGGAGGCAAATTTGAGTAGCTTGGGAGATAAAGGAAATTGGTTGGGGAGGACATGGAGAATATTACTGAACTATTAGAACTTCTCCCTCGTCCTGGGGGAACGTTGAGGCTTCTGAATGTGTGTGTGTTAGTATTTTAAATGATTGCAGCTGCATGTGCAGAAGCACTGGAGGTGAAAGTGGGAAAGACTGCACAGACGATGTTGAGGTGAGAAAACAAGTGTGTGTGCTCAGTCACTCAGTCCGACTCTTTGCGACCCCATGGACTGTAGCTCACCAGACTCCTCTGTCCATGGAATTTTCCAAGCAAGAATACTGGAGGGGTTGCCATTTCCTCTACAGGATCTTCCCAACCCAGGGATCAAACCCGTGTGTCTTACCTATCCTGCATTAGCGGGTGGATTCTTTACCACTGAGCCACCTGGGAAGCCCCCGAGAAGACAAGTGATCATGATTAAATCAGATCTTGACTATCAGTTTCCCTTTATTTCCCTAAATGCCGGGCACTGTGCCGAATTCTTTTGTGTATATATAATCTTACCAAGTCCCCATAACAGGTCTGAAAGCCGCTCAATCATACACTTTAAATATGGGCCTGGCTTTGTATTTTTAGCACGTGCCCTATATGATTGTGATAACACACTGAAGTTGGAGAGCGCTTGCCCCACCACGCTGCCTCCCGTGCTAACAGTTGGAGCCTTTCTGACCCACAACTTCCCAAGCCACAGGTTTCTCACGCAGGTGAGGTGCCTGTTTCTTGGGCTCGATAGTGGCCAGTGGCTAGTGAGACACGTGGCTCAGGGCCTCAGCCGCAGCAGAGTATGGCCCAAGGGTCAGCAGCATAGCCAATCCTGAGGCACATTTAAAATCAGATGCTCAGGCCCCACCCTGCTGAATTAGAATCTGTATTTCAGCAGCATCCTTAGGTGGTTTGGAGTAGAAAAAGCATTGCTTTAAAGTATAAGTGTGAAGTCAGGGGAATTTAATACAGCCATTTCATCAGGCTGCTTCTATAGTTTGCAATTAAAGAATAGTGTAAAAAATAAAGACCATGAAGGAGGTCTTCTAATTACTGAATGCTTACAGTGTCTGGGGCTTCCCAGGTGGCGCAGTGGTTAAGAATCCACCTGGGGGGTCACAGAGTCAGACACAACTGAGTGAGCACACACACACAGTGTGTCTGATGTTTTGGGTACTTTATTTCATTTTATCCTCACAACAGCCCTGTGAAGTAGACATTGTCCCCCATTTAACTGGTGAGGAAACAGATTCTGAGAAGTTAAGTAACTAGCCAAAGGTCATACAGCTTTTGGGAGCTGCCAGGTTCATATGCAGATCTGTCTGACTCCTCAGTTCATGCCCTTTGCAGCCCACCACGATGATTCCTGTGATCCAGCAAAAAATGAAGGAGTTAGTCTTGCTCCATGCCACCCCTTCCCTCTGGGAGTGTTGTTCCACGGAGCTACAGAGGCCAGTCACCTGGAACAGAACAAAAGTGTCCTGTGATTTGGGGTGATAAAAATAGGATGGTAAGGTTCTGTGCTGACCGCGCTTCGCTGGTGTTTTGGTTGGTCTCTCCCTTGGAAAAGGCGTGACCTCCAAATTTTCCACCCAAGTTAATTTCAACAACCAAGAAGAAAGATCGCCAGAGAAGCATAGCCTTCTGATTTTGTGGCCGCTGTGCCAGCCCAAAGGACCAGAGACTTTCCATTGCCAGAGGGCCTGACCTTCATTGCTTTTCTAAAGTGCTGTTTTTAACACCTCACCTGGATTCTGTTTTGCTCGGAAGTTCTTTGCTTGAGCTGAATCAGTCCGTGACTCACAAACCAGCACTTGTTGCACTGAACCCTGTCTATTTAGCTTTTATTATGTACACCTAAGAATACTCCTAACAAACTGGCTTGAACAAGGTCCCCACCCTACTTATTTTCTAAAACAGTTGAACCAGAAAGGTGAGTGTTAGGCTTTTGAACTGATTCTATTCCTTTTGAATTCTATGTTCTTTTTTGCCTCTGCAAAACCAATGTGGAACTGTCCAGGGTCTCTTCCTCTTCTGGTATTCACTCAGTTATGTAGTCTACTGAACTGTGAGCTCTCATAGGGGAAAGAGTCTGTGTCTCCTATTCATCTGTTTCACTGGCTCCCAGCAAGGTTCTTAGAAGAGGCGTATGAATGAACATGGAATTAAGGCAGGGGTCACAGTAACAGTTGATGCTTCCTGAGCACTTACAGTGATTCTTCATAATCTCATCAATCCAGTGATACAGGAGATGATAGTACCATCTCCATTTTACCTAGAGGAAATTTAAAATTTACAAAAGTGATAGAGTTTTTCTCAAGTCACATATCCAATCTTGGTGGACCTGGTGTATGAAACCCAGGCAGTCTGACTCTCCAGCCCGTGCTCTTAACCAAAAGGCTATCCTGCCTACTAAACCTACTAAGAGCTTACTTCGCCAGGTGCTATGCTGTTCTAAGTTGCTTCAGTCGTGTCTGATTCCACGATCCTATGGAATGTAGTCTGCCAGGGTCCTCTGCCTGTGGGATTCTCCGGGCAAAAATGCTGGAGTGGATTGCCGTTTCCTCTTCCGGGGATCTTCCTGACCCAGGGATCAAACTCACATCTCTCATGTCTCCTGCATTGGCAGGTGGGTTCTTCACCCGCTTGGGAAGCCCCACTGCTTGTCAGGTGGTTTTCATATATAGCTCATCTGATGCTCACTGCTGCCTTTTGAGATGGAGCCTTTGTTCTTTCATTTTAAACAGATTAGAAAACTCTGCCTCTCGAGAGGTTAAGTGATTTGGCCCAGGTAATGCAGCTACCTAGTGACAGGGAAGGGGAAGACCGCGTCTGCTAGGGGGAGACTTCTGCATCTGGTTCCAGCTGCCTCCCACACTAGGGACCACAGTACTTGACATCCACACATCCATTCCTTTGGCAAATACTCATTCAACATATTACATGCCAGGCATTGTGCCAAGTGCTTTATATACATGAACTCATTTAAACTTCAGGGCAACTGTGTAAAGTGTTGATATTGCTGTTTCTATTCCCTTCATAAGGGGGAAGCTGAGGCTTATGTGTCACTAGTGTGTCTAGTGAAAGCAGTGATAATAGCTGATATTTATGGCGATTTCCTGTGCTAGGTGCACTGTTGCAAGTGCCTTCCATATATTATCTCATGTAATTCTTACTGAAACCCTATAATCATAGGTTGGAATATGATGTAAGGTAGTTTTATCCCTGTTACAGGTAAGGAAATTGGCATTTGTGCACACAGCCAATAAGTGGCAGGGTCAGATTCATGGCCAGGCAGTCAAATTCCAAGACCTGCGCTGTTAACCATATCCTGTGGTTTGTCTTCCCCTCCACAGGCACCCAAATTGGCTGAAAGCTTCTGTGTCTGCCATTTGGCTACTGGAGACATGCTGAGGGCCATGGTGGCTTCTGGCTCAGAGCTGGGAAAGAAGCTGAAAGCAACTATGGATGCCGGGAAGCTGGTAGGTTCGGTGGGACCAATGAGTGTTGATCTTCCTCAGCCCCAGTCTGCCCTGCCAGGGTGACCACCAGCCACAGGTAGCTATTGAAATTCATTTTAATTTAAAGTTAACTTTCTCAGTTTCACTTGCCACATTTTAGGTTTTTGCTATCCAGCACAAATATAGAACTTTTTAATATTTATAATTTTATTTATTTATTTTCAGGTATGTTGCATCATCATTGCTGCACAGGCTTTTCTCTAGTTGTGGCGAGTGGGAGCGACTCTAGTCGCAGTGTGCAGGCTTCTCATTGCGGTGGTTTCTCTGTGGAGCCTGAGCTCCACAGTAGTTGTGGCACTGTGGGCTCAGTAGCGGTGGCTCCCAGGCTCTAGAGCACAGGCTCAGTAGTTGTAGCACATGGGCTTAGTTGCCCCACGGCATGTGGGATCTTCCCGGATCAGGGATCGAACCTGTCTTCCACATTGTCAGGCAGATCACTGAGCCACCAGGGAAGCCCCGAGATAGAACATTTTAATCATTGTAGAAAGTCCTGTCAGACAGCCCTGTGCTGTGGGGTGTTTTAACAAACTGGAAGATTATATGAACTTTTATGTTAGCAAGTCTACTTGGTTCATTCTGAATTTATGGCACTGATTTTATTCACAGTATTCTTGAAGTTCCTTTGTGCTGGCTTATTTTGCAATATACGCCTAGTTTTTAGGGCCAGAAACAAAACACATCCCTAGACCAGAACTCAAGGGTCCTTCAAGACAGGACTCAAAAAGGCACAGAGTGCTTTTACTTACTTTTGTGACTGTCTTTTGTGTCTCTTAACAGAGGGGTTGCTTGGCAGTTAACAAAAGTATCCTTCTTATTTGGAGACTATAATAGCATTTTCTCTTGTTTTTAGTCCAGTTGATGTGATAGGAGAAGTACAATTTGTTATCCACTAGATCGTTTTTGGTTAGTGTGTGTGCTAAGTTGCTTCTGTAGTATCTGACTCTGTGCAACCATATGGGCTGTAGCCTGCCAGACTCCTCTGTCCATGGAGTTCTCCAGGCAAGAATACTGGAATCGATTGCCATCCTCTCCTCCAGGGAATCTTCCCAATCCCAGGATCGAATCCCCGTCTCTTATGTCTCCTGCATGGGCAGGCGGATTCTTTACCACTAGCACCATCCGGGTGCCAGAGCTTAATCGTAACTGAGTTTTTCTGGGACTTGGTCTTGGGAAGAATCATTTTGTGCTTGGGTCTCTGGTCTTTACATGTCTTAGTATGTTGGTTAGGGCACATGCTGGGCTGAGTTACTTCCTGTCAGGCTTTGAGATTTTGGAGCTGGGGTAGCTCTGCCGATGCGCCTACTGCCCCTTTATTTCTAGCTTTCCCTTCATGTGAGTGAGGCTGTCAGTCACTGCTGAGAGCTCGGTATTTTGGACTTTGGACCTTGATAGAAGATCCTGTACTGAGAAAAAAAATGGGATGTGACAATGAGATTACTTATCTCTAGCCTTCACTTAGTCGTAGAGCTTATACTTTGTCCCCAAGTTCACAGCTGGTCCCAGGAGATAAGAGCATTAGCTGCCAAAATGGGCAGCCTTCACTTTAGCACTGGCAGGGACCTTTTCTTCCAGTGATAACCCAGGAGGAAAACCAGTTTTTAAAAGCCAGAGAGGATCTTTACTAGGGTTTTCAGAGAGGCTCAGAGGGTGTTGGGCTGGCTCCTTGGTTCTGACCCAGTCTTGTCAGGTCAGTAAACTCTGTTGCTTCATGTCCAAGGTGGCCTGGGTCACTTTACTGTTAGCCTAATCAAAATTGTGTAACAGGTTAAGTTGGTGCCTTTTGATATTTTGGTCAACCCTCATTCTCTCCTGGAGCCTTCCTCAGTTGGTCTCTCAGCCGTATACCCTCACTATCTTGTGTCTAGAGGACAGCTATTTGCTGAGAAGCTGTTATCTGATGGTTAGGATTCTGACAAATAGCCAGAGAGGCCTTTGGGACCTAAGACTTGAAGGTCTCTGGGTGGGGTGACAGGCCCTGGAATCCTCTCTCCTCTCCCAGATTACTGGGACACAGGAGAGTCTCAAGGGAAGAGATTGCATGTGTGGCAACTACAGAAATAATCATGAAACTGAATCTTCCAAAGGGAGCCACTCCATAGGTGCTCTGATTTTTGCTTCTTTGGGATCAAGAACCTATTTAGTAATCAGGCTATACAGACACAGACTTGTAACCCTGGAGTTGGGCTAATGCCACCTAGTTAATGGATATAACCCCAACAACTATTTTGTTCTTGACTTCCAGGTGAGCGATGAAATGGTCGTGGAGCTCATTGAAAAGAATTTGGAGACCCCTCCATGCAAAAATGGTTTTCTTCTAGATGGCTTCCCTCGGACCGTGAGGCAGGCAGAAATGGTGAGTGACTTGGTTTTTTATCACCAAGGCAGGAAAGCAAATCCTGGCCCTTTATTTCTTTATTCCTTTGAGGGAAATGGGTCTTATCAAGCTCTGGTAGCTTAGGTGGGCCACATGCTCTTTTTACAGCTTGATGACCTCATGGAGAAGAGGAAAGAGAAGCTTGATTCTGTGATTGAGTTCAGCATCCCAGACTCTCTGCTCATCCGGAGAATCACAGGAAGGTATTTGTCCCCTGGAGGTCCCTTCTTCTCATGCTTCCTCAGAGTTTTGGCAGACCACGGGAACTGCTCTGGCCTAATCCCAGCCACGAAGCTTAGTGCCATTTCCACGTGGATTGATCTTATTTGGTGACATGGGATGGGGATGTGGAAAGAAGAGCAAGGGATCCGAAGTCCAGCAGCAGCTCAGTCCTGTCACCTTTTAACTCTGACCCTAGGCAAGTTTTTTAACCTCTCTAAGGCTGTATCCTTATGTTGCATGGGGTTAATAGTACCTGCTTCAAGGAACCATTGTGCATGGTAGATAGCATGTTGTGCATAGTTCAGAACCTTGCTCACGTGGGTGCTTAAGAAATACTAAATTCCTTACATGTGTATCTGCATTTTAGTGCTTTTTAAGTTTGATTTCAGTTGGAGTTACCACACCTTGCTATAGGCTTTTTATTAGTTATAAAAATAGTAGGACCATCTTCACAGAGTTTAAAAAATTGAAGAAAATTTTGTTCGTGGTACAGCCAGCTTAGCAAAAAACACTAATTTATTTGTGTGTTTTGTTTTAAAGTGCTGACTTCTCTATGGGAGTTAACATTGAACACAGAGACGCTTCTGCTTCTGACAAGTGGAGCTTAAAGAGTGCCATTGCTCTAGGCTGCAGTTTACTTAACCCTTTCACCATCACTCTACATCTGCCTTGTGCTGCCTTCCAGAGATACCTGGGAAGCTTCCAACTACTAATAGACCCTCCCATTCTTATCTTGATTATAGACGATAGCTAATTTTTATCCCTAGTTATTTTATTTATTTTTTAGAAAATTCATCTATTTATCTATTACTGTACCAATAGTACACTTTATTTCTAAAGGTTTTTTTTTTTTTTAATGTGGACCATTTTTAAAGTCTTTTATTGAATTTGTTACAATATTGTTTCTGTTTTATGTTTTGGTTTTTGGCCACAAAGCATGTGAAATCTTAGCTCCCCTGCCAGGGGTGGAAACCATGCCCCTTGCATTGGAAGGCAAAGTCTTAACCACTGGACCACCAGGGAAGTCCCCTTTTAGTCATTTTAATGAAATCTCAGGAAGGTGGTCAGCTTTCCATCTTGAACCAGACTCCTGTGACCATTATTTTTCATTACTGCATGTTATTTCACAGTAGATGAACCATCATTAACTTCATTATTCCCTAGTTGTTGTATATTTGTGTTTCTTCTAGTTGTCTACTGTCAAACTGATGCTCTGACCATTGTAGTACATGTAAGTTATGTAATTAAGGGGGACATTTTTTTTATTATAAATGTACTACTTTTATACATTTATAAAGTATAAATTATACTTTTATACATTTATAAAAGTTGAGCATTTCCCCCATGTGTCTGCAGTTCATGTCTTTAAGGAGAGAGGCAGCAGAATAAGTGTTAGAGGTGTTCTGGAAGGCGGTGTTAGATACAGGGGAATGCACCTTGTATTAATTTCCTTTTCAAATGTCCAGGTTTCATATTTCCAGCTATCACATAGGCTCCTTCAGTGCAGATTTTTTGTTTCTTTGCACTGGCACAGAGTAGGCAAAGTTGATACAGTCCAAGAAGCAGTAGGGTTGATAGGAAGGGACATCACCAGAGCTGGGGTCCCAGACATTGCAAAGTAAATGTTAACAGAACTAGATGACACAAGGGACCTTTGATCTGATTGGCCCAGCTTCCTAAGTGCCTGCTTTGTTCACAGCACAGCTCTGGGAGCAAGGGACCAAGAGAGGATATACCAGTGCCCATCTCTGACCTCAGTCCCCAAACCCTACATGAAACCTGGGCTGTTTAGTGCAGTAGGGGTCCAGTAAGAGAGCCTGCGGGCAGAGAGGGAAGGCTGGCTAGGAGAGAGACCTAAAGTGAGACTTGACCTTCCTGGATAGAGAGGATTTTCTTGAGGCTTTCCCAGAAGGAAGTAGAGGCAAGAATGTCCAGAGCTGGAGAAATGGCCTGGCAGGCTGGGTGGTAGAATGAGTGAGGTTGGGAAGGTGCAAGGTCTGCCAAGGAGCAAAGAGGGTAGACCTGCTGAGTCAGGAGTCATGGGATGTTCTTAAGCCACTAGGTGCTGCGGCTAGTATAGCATTGTAAGAATATTGGCTTGGTCCTGGTATACAGGCTCCATTGAGGGAAAGAAGAAACAGACAAGGACCCCACCAAGGAGCCTCATGTGATCCACCTGTGGAGTGACGAGGCTGAAGTTGGCTGGTGGGGAACTGAGAGATTCTGAGAACAAACTACAGAATTGTAGAGGGCGAAAGAGGGAAGGCTCAGTCTCCTGGTTTGGAAATAAGTGCTTTCCTCACAGAGGAGGAAACAGAACAGGTCAGACTGTGTGAAAGTGCTTTTCCAAGTCCCATTTGTATGTATGTCAGTGGCAGAACTAGCACCAAAAGCCTGCTTTCTGCCTCATCGTCCACTGTGCTGATGGTTGCCAGAATAAGTGTCAGGAACTAACCAGTTTAATATGGATCTTATCTGACACGATAAGGACTCCACTGTAAATGTCTTCTGAATTGGCTCAGGCCTCACTTCTAATAATTTTATGGGCGATTATTTTATTCCTTGCCATAAGTATGGCTGGTGGGTTTTGTTTTAACCTGTTCGGTGTTGGCTCTCTGGTTTCATTGGTTTCTTATGTCTTGTGCCATTGCCATTCTCTGGATGAGAACACAGGTGTCTGAAGTATCACAGCCAAGGCTGTAGCATCCCAGCCTGCCCCCTCCCCCCCACATCTTCACCTCCAGGCCAGGCTCAGTGGCTCTAAGAGCTGTTTTGGTTGGTCCTTGAGACCAGTCCCATTTTAAGAACTTGGAGATTGGTTTCTTTTCCCTTCTAGAGAATGAGTCTTGCATTCTTCTTAAAATGATATTTGGGGGTGGAGAAGGAGCAGTGTGTTTATACATAACTGGAAGGCTGAGGGAATCTGAGAGTGAGCAAGAGCTGATGTAGAGACATGGAGAGGAGAGAGTTGTGTTTGTTGCAGCCTGGCTGCTATATGCCCTGTGCTATGCAGAAGGTGATGAAACATGGTCCAGGGACTTCCCTGGTGGTCCAGTGGTTAAGACTTCATGCTTGGGGGCATGGGTTCAGATCCTGGTTGAGGAATTAAGATCCCATATGCTGCGAGGTTCGGCCAGAAAAAAAGAAACATGGTCCCCATCTCATGCCCCCAGCCCTTCCCAAAGAGAAAGCTGTAGCCGAGCCCCAGTCCCTGGTCTTCCTCTCTCTGCTGGGTCTCCCAGTGGGCGTCATTTCCAGTGAATGCACCAGAGGAACCCCTCCAGCAGCTCAAATAAAGAAAGGCTCAACCTTGCGCTGTGTGATTGCAATCACTTGTCCCCGACCACCTTATTCTATAAATGGACCCCTTGGCCCCCAAAAGCATGCTGTTATGAAAATACAGTGCTGCATTTTGCAAATCTGTGTGGCTTCAGAAGTCTGACCCAAACTTTCCCAACTGATGTGCTGAAATACTGACCCTCTCTTCCACCAGAGCAAGCACGCTAAGTACTTTCTGTGCCTGCCAAGAGGTAGAAAATGTTGGGAAGCTCTGGTCTAACAGACTTCATGAGGAGAGCCGCCATAAGTTAAATAGGCAGATCTTGGTTGGCATAGAATTGGGAGACCACGGGAACTCGAGAGGGCCCCAGCTGCAGAGCAGCATTTGGCCTGCCTCCTTCCCTTCTTAGATTTCGGGGCTCCTGTGGTGTGGCCACTGCCAGCCATGGGCATGGGCTTATTGCTTAAGGGGACATGGCAGAGAGGCAGCTGCTACCTACATATCCTGTGCCAGATAAAAGCTTCTTCTTGAGCTCTTTGTTCTGTGACTTAATGTGTCAGTTTTCTTGACACCCTGAGTATTGCCCTCTGATGGCTGGGGTCTCTGTGGTCACAGAGGTGTGCGGTATTGTCTGGTGGCATCTGCCTCCATAGCATGTGCTTTTCCTATAGCACCTTTCTTGTTTTTTACCCAAAGTAGGTTAGAAAATAAGGGTAGTCTCTCTGTCCTCTGTCCACCATGGCAGGTTATCCAAGTCTCTGTTAAAGGATTACCACATCTATTATAGTTACTTATTTCCACGTTTGTCTCCCTCTCTACATTAAGCGCTGTTTGTGACCAGGGATCCTGACTCACTTTTCTGTAGCCCCTGGATTCAGCTCAAGACCTGAACTGGACTAGGCAGTTAGTCAGCACTTGTTGAATGAACAGGTGAACACATGGGTGGCTGTGTGAGACCTATGGGACACACAGCCCACAGGCTGTCATGCCAGCCACCAGCCAGCCAGACACTTATTTTAATGTTGGGTCAGAAGAGAAAAAATACTCACTCTGGTATAAGCCCAGTTATTTTCCTAAGCAAGGGATGCCTGTAACTGGTTTCTCTGCTGGATTAAAGTCGTTGCATCCAGCTTCTCTGTCTGTGCCTGTGGTCTTGGAGACCCCTAGAGTTCCAGCAGCCTGATTGATGTTCATTTGCTGTCTTGCAGACTGATTCACCCCCAGAGTGGCCGCTCGTACCACGAGGAGTTCAACCCCCCAAAGGAACCCATGAAAGATGATGTATGTAAATTCAGGATGGAAAATGTCCTTTTCTTTCCTTCTTTCTTACTTCACTTTTTCTCCTTTTTTTCTTCCTTTTGTTCTTCCCATCTTCCCTCTATGCCTAGCAGCATCACTAAACTATGAGAAGTATCACTGTCATGTAAATCACATGGACTGTGGCTCATCTTTAGAGGTCCCTCCAGGTGATTTATTGCTTGACCTTGAGGTAGCCACCAGTACCAGCTACTTGATGGTGCCCAGTTTGTACCTGTTTTGTCCAGAGCAGCCCCTTCCTGGCATCATGGGAACCTCAATGGTGAACTAATCAGGAGAAGGCTGCTTGGAAGCCCGAATTAAAGCCAGGGTTGGGAGGACAGGACTGAAGAGAGGTTTATTGACCAGCCCCGCTTCAGAAGAATATCCTCTCTCCCTAATGACTACTGTGCCCTACAGATTCCAGAAGAACTTGGCCAGGTTAACACTGCCAAGTTCCTATGACAGTCTTCAATTGTTTGCAGATGTAAAAGGGAGAGTCTCATACATAGTCGCTATAATATTTGCCATAAATAGTTCATCTGTTTCAGAACATGTAGGCCACAACAGAACAAATTTCCTGGACTTAACCTTTGTCAAATGAGACAAGTTCATCAGGTCGTACGGGTTTCAAAGCCATCTGTCAGCTTTGTCACATTTCAGAGTTGCAGTGCTGTCACTCAGCATCCTCTCCCTCACTTGCCACTTTTAGAACATTGATGGCCTGGTAAAAAAACTGAGGCAGTTAAGATCATAATTGCTACTGCGGCTCTGATTTTGATGTATTCTCCTGGTCTCAGGGGCCTCTGTCTTTCTTGTTTCTGACCCTCGAAGTGTTTGTCCTGGAAGCTGAACAACCTGAGCACCAGCTATGAGAGAAAGACATTGCCCATCGCCTCCCTCAGCCCTGTTCTCACAGTTGCTGTTTGAGGCTCCCCAGTTTCTCTGGACCAGGTGGTCTGCTCCTGGGACCAGCTCGCTGGGAATAGTGAAGGTCTTCATAGTTCTCTACTGAAGGAGGTCTAGATTGTCTGTCTTTCCCTGTGATGGACTTTGGGATCAGACAGCATCTCAGATCTGCATCTGGCCTTGGATTAGGAGACCTTGCCGAGTCCCAGCCTTTCATTGCCCTCTTCTTATTCTCAGATCACTGGGGAACCCTTGATCCGCCGATCAGACGATAACGAGAAGGCCTTGAAAATCCGTCTGGAGGCCTACCACACTCAAACCACCCCACTGGTGGAGTACTACAGTAAACGGGGGATCCACTCGGCCATCAATGCATCGCAGACCCCTGACGTCGTGTTTGCAAGCATCCTAGCAGCCTTCTCCAAAGCCACATGTAAAGACTTGGTTATGTTTATTTAATGTCGGGTCCAAAAAGGAATTTCTTTCTTCTTACTTTCCTTGTTGAACGAGTGGGTGGGAATGGCAGAGTAGGCAGAGAGAAGCTTCCTCAGGCCAGCAAGAATATCATTTGATGTATTGATTAAAAAAGCACTTGCTTCATGTACCTTTGGTGTGTGTGCAAGTCTCATCTCATCTGTGTGTGTGTGTGTGTGTGTGTGCGTGCGTGCATACGTGTGTCAGTATGTGTACACTCTCATACTTCCTAAGTGATAGGCGAGACTGTTTACTTCTTTAGCCGTACTCTTTATTTTCAACCAAAATAAATTAACTAGCCAGACAAGTTACTGGGTATTTTTCCATCTCCAGCAGCTAATTAGAAGTCCTGGGTCACGTGCAGTCAGGCAGGGCTACAGTTCCTAATGGCAGGCTGTTGGCCAGAAATTCCACTTGTTTCTCACCCATAATGAAAAGTCAGCAGGTCAGTGTGTGGAAAGGGATAATTAATTTTTTTCCCCTAAACAGGAATGAAAAGGCACTTACTTTATAGATTCCAGAAATTACTGGGAGAGGGTATCACCATAGAAAGAGCCTGGCCAAGTTGAATTATTTTTGTGATCTGCACCATAGTTCTGTAAAGTAAGAATCATTTGGTTCCTGTGTTGAATACTAAATTGATGCCAAAGAATTAAACCAGGAGAAAGGTCCTCTTGAATTCAGACTATCTTCTGAACATCCAGGCTGGGCATCTGAGAGCAGCCAGTCCACTTCCCCAAAGACAGCAGGATAGATTTGTCTTTAAATGTTTGCTCTGTTTCCAAGTGTGAACAAAATGGTGATTTGAGGATCATTTGGGGATCATGTTGATTAGAATTTATTCAAGCCCAGTCTCTAAAGGATATGAAATCAGATATATCCCTTTTGAACTCAACCCTCTCCCTTCCATGTCCAGTCCTTCACGCCTTATGTCATGACGGTGGTGGCCACAGTCTCCCCAAGAAAGGACCACCCCCAAAATAAGATCATCTATGGCAGTAACCAACTTTTCTTCCTAACCTCAGCTCCTGGCTCTTAGGCATTTTCTGAGGTCCACGCTGTGCCTTTTGGTCTCTGGTTTGATCTGTGGCAAACAAAGGAATTAATAGACTGCTATGAGGGACCACAAAAACAGCAGGCTCTGGAAAAACCATTAAAAAGTCAGTGACAGGTCCAGTAAATAATGCCACCTGCCCAGGGTACTCTGCTGACTCAGTGCAGTGGCCTCGGAAGTGCCCAGCCCCCACCTGACCTGAGCTCTCCTGCAGTCTATGAGACCACCAGAGGGCCTGTCCTCTGTCCACCTGGAAACTGGCTGCGGTACGTGGCCATCTGTGTCCCTCTGTGTCTGCTGGCTCTGCTCTGCCTGCTTTCCCTGGCTGGAAGCTAACTCCACCCATGCTTAACGGAAACCCAGTCTGGCATGGGATGTTTCTGGGAAGCACATGACTTCTGAGAATGGACTAGGAAGGGGAGTGAAATCAAAACTGTCTGCTGTGTCTGCAGGGATCTGGGCTGCTTTTCTGGGTGAGGTGACCTCATGAATCTTAGAGTTGACTCCCCTTCGACTGGGGACAGTGGCAGGCACTTGGCCTCAAAGTTGAGGTCCTTGAATGATTGCTGATAGAGTGTGCATGATCCTTGCTCAAATATGTGTCATCCGTCCATGTGCATTCACACGTGCACACACATACTTGTGTTACTTGGGCTGCCAGTGGGAAAGGGAAGGTCGTCGGGGGTGCATATGTCCTTTTGGGAGTAGGCAGAATTCAATTTTTGCTTCACTTAATTCCAGAGACTTAACCTCAGCAGGCATGAGAGCTTTCACCTGGCAGAGAAATGTCCAGTGTTTAATGCATTTGGTTGCTGGGGTGTGCATGCCAACCTTCTCTGATGTTTGCTTGGTTTTTAAACACCCATTTTGTTTTCTCTTGTCTCCTCTTTATTTCAGCCTAGTAACAGAAGGCCAGGCGAGACTGCACCAGTACTCATCACCCCACGGCATGATCCCTGCTCTTAGGTGCTGGTCAGAGGGAGGGGCGGTCAGGGTAAGGATGGGGAGGGAGGAGCGGCGAGGGCCCAAGATGGGGAGAGGAGCTGTGCTGCTGTGAAGCAATTCCTTTTACATGGAGTAGGACTCTTAAAAGTATAAGCAAAGGGAAAAATTAATTTTTTAAAACACTTGATTGGAGGGTATAAATAGAAACAAGGAGATGCAGTATTATTTCTAAGGAATCGTGTTTTCATTTACTTTGGACTGGTGACAACTGGACAGGTCTCAGTGCCCAGAGACCTCAGCTTTTATCAGAACCTCATGCCAGCCCAGGAATGCAGGAAATCACACTATTGTCCTGTCTGCCCCATAGCTTAGAACAGGGCGGGAGTTGATTACTAATCCTGGTTACCCATACCATGAAATCAGATCATCGCCACATGTGAAAGAGACATGGAGTGTGTTCCTGGGGGCAGCATCTCAACAAATCCGGTTTACTGGAGTCATGGGGCAGACTGGTGTCCCTCCCTTCCATACTCACCGCTGATTTACCAGCCCACCTGCCCTCATGGGTGAGCCCTCGGCAGCCACCCAGCATACGCCACAGTCCGGCATTCTTGCCTTCCTCCATTCACATTATGTGAAAGGACTCTTTTTAATGAATGAGCAAGTGTCCTAAGCAACATTATCCAAAGACTGTCCTTTCCATCCTCAAATCCTATGACCGGGATCACTCTACAACACTGTGATGTATTATTTTCAATGAGGTGCCTTTCTTAACTGTCCAAATGCTGCCTTGTTTGGCCCCTAAATAAAGTGTGTTAAAAGTTTGTATCCCCTGTTGTGGCATTTTTTAAGATGTGGGCTAGTAAAGTGACGCTGAATTCTGGATCTGATTTGGAAGCCCTTTCTTTGGGTCACTGCAAGTCGTGAGAAGGCAGGAAGGTCCAAGTGTGTGTTCATAAGAAGAGTCGGCTCCCTCTTGGCCTTCAGCTCATCTGCAGGATTTTCTTGAGCCCAAAGACAAGGCCGCTTGGGCCAGTGGAGACAGTGCTGTGCTTGGGGTTCAGGGATGTATATCAAATCCCAGCCAATCATTTACTCTGCTCCTATTTCCTCGTGTGAAAGAGACTAGTGGTGGTCCAGTGGTTAAGACTACCTGCCAATGCAAGGGACACTGGTTCGATCCTGGGTCTGGGAAGATCCCACATGCCGTGGGGCACCTAGACCCATGTACCACAGCTTCTGAGCTTATGCTCCACGACAAGAGAAGCCACCGCAGTGAGAAGCCAGCGCAACATAACGAGAGAGTAACCCGTTCTCTCAGCCACTGAAGAAAGCCTGTGGGCAGCAACAAAGACCCAGTGCAGCCAAAAGTTGATAAATATTTTTTAATAAGAGGCTAGTGATGCTACCTTCTCAGACTCATTTGCTAGTAAGTGAAGTTTATAAGAAGGTTTCTACTTGGTACCTGGCATGAACAGACACTGGATAAATGCTAGCAGAATCCAAGGAAACATAGAAAAATAACCTGCTTCCCGCCAGGGTGGATGATTGTTAAGAAAACAGTTTGTCCGCAGCCTAGAAAGCTAGTGCTTCTAATCCCTAAGCCAGATTTTTGGCTGCCTTTTCAGCTGCCTCTTTAATACCCTTGGTTGCTTCTTTGTAAATCCATTTCTTCCCCTGCAAAAAGGAGCTTAAATCATTTGTCCAAACTGAAGCTCTCGTGCTCTTTGAAAGGGCTGTCTTTTCACTGGGGTTTCTGAGAAGTGACTGCTGTCCCTGAAAGCAGCTGGAGCTGACCTGGAAGCACCATCCTTCTCCAGCCAGGTGTTCTTGCTCTGGAGAGAGGCAGGCCTGTTTCTGGTGTCCGAACTCCTGCTCCCTCTTCTGCTCTACCATGTCCCCCACCTCTGCAGGGTCATTCTCAGGTGATTTATTTGCCCTGATCTTTTCATTCCAAAAGTATTTAAATGTCCCATGAAAATTTTCCTCCGTTCCCTTGATCATCATGCAACAAACTGGGGGAAATGTTTGTCAGAGCAGCCTGGGAGGATACGTGGTATGGGTGGAAAGGATAAACTGGAAGAAGACAGGTGAACTCTTGCTCGCTCACGCCTTTGGGCTTGGCCTCCTCTCTGGAAACCAAGATTGGATGAAGTAAGAGTCCCCACCGTTTCTGGAAGGCTGACACGTCAGGTGCTTTGCAGCAGCCCCACACCCATGACCTTGCTTGACCTCTCCCCAGCCCCCTGCAAAGCGCCCTAGCTGGTTGGCGCTGTCTTCTGTCACAGGGGAGGAGACCAGGCCTCAGCAGTGGTCACACTCCCGAGGGCGCTGTAAGAAGCAGTCGGGGCTCACACACAGTCTCTGACACCTTGCTGCTGAACTGATCCAGTGGCTTGCTGCCCCTGCAGCAGAAAGGGCCCGTCCAGATGAGCGCCCCACACCGCCAGAGCCAGTTTGGGGGATATTGTTAACAGTCTGAGGACCCAAAGTGTGTGCTTAGGATCTCATGTGCACAAAATGTCGCAGACAGGATAGAGTGGGGTGAAGAGCAGGCTCAGTCCTCCAGAAGCCTAACCAGCCTTTTCTCAGGAAGAAGCTACATGAGTCAGAGATGACAGGTTTCAGCAGCAGCTCCACTACCAGCCTTCCAGCAAATCATTGCACCTTATCCATTGAATGGGAATGATCCCCACCCCTCAGATGTGCTGATGACACTGGTGACCAAGACATCTGCGTGGGCATGCGGCAGGTGCTCGGTGTGTGCTGACGGAGCTCAGAGTGAAAATGAGGGTGTGGGCAAGAGCTGTCGTCTCCCTGAGTCAGGAACCACGCTAGGCTAAAGATTCTTTTGTTTTTTTCTTTTTTTAAACTAAAGTGTAGTTGATTTACAATGTTGTGCCAATCTCTGTTATACAACAAAATGGCTCAGTTTTATATTATATATACATGTACATTCTCTTTTTAATATTCTTTTCTGCTATGG